TTTTAACAAAATAGGGTGAATACCTCTTTAATTTTTTAAGCATAATATTGATTGGCTAGTTGTATTTTTGTTTTCCTCAGTATTTGTCCGATTAGATCTTTTTCCCAGATGATTTAATTCGAGTAGATTCATGAAAACAATTCAAAATTTATGGAAAATACATCTGTGAAAAAGGAAGACCATCATGTAAGCAGAATGTTTTTCCTCCGTATTTTTAATGAGCCTAACCCTAAAGTATTACAGACGATATTCGTTTTCTGGGGGAAATGCTCTTTTAATTTCATTTTTGACTGCCTTTTAACTAAACCAGAAAAATTAAAATTATTCGATTTTTCAGATAACTCTGAAGTGATGTGCCTATGAAAAACAGAGATTTTTTATTGGTTATTGTAGTTTAAAGTTTACACTCTCTTAAACTCGATCGATTCTTGACTTCATGAGAGATATATAAAATAAAAAACAAAATCCTTTTTAGAATAAACCTTCGCAACAAACACTTATTGAGCCAAGCTTGTCGACTGAACTTCTCCAATTAACTTGAAATTCTATATTCGAAATTACGAATAGTTTTCCCCTATAATTTTTAAGTTCCGCCATAAGAATATAAATTGTGTTTAATCTAGTATTTTCCTAGTTTCTAATGCAAAATCTCCCGCATTTAAGCCTATTGTTTTCATGATATAAAGAATATAATAATTTGAAATAAATCAGTAAAATTTTGGTGTCTAAAGTAATGATCTAAAGTGATCCAATTTAAGATTTCCCTAACACCTATGCAAAAATGAAGGGCCACACATGAGTAAAGAATAAAAATGCGCATGAAAATTATATAAAACCCAGGAACATGTGGCTAATAATCACTTGAAAACAAAGATTTATGACATTTTTGACCACAACGCCATATCAAAAACATTTAGCTGCCAGCGTAGATGACTATTAGATTTTTCTAATTTTCATTGTTTAATCATCCCTTAAACTATCTAAATGACATTTTTTCTTAATTTTATGAGTTATAGCGGACTGCAGGGTCGCATTGAACTGTGAGTAACAGTGCAAAACATAACTGACTTCAAATTTATAATGGGAAAAACATTAATATCTCATATAATACTGTGAAAAGGCTATCCATATTGAAAAAAACTCAGAATAATTATTACTTATTGATTCTACAGAGAATTTTTAAGTTATAATAGCAGACTTCTTGGCTTTAGATAGAGATGTACTTAAGGACTTAAGATATTTGTTCATCTTATTTGTTTGCTACAGACCACATATCATCCTTATTCCCGCGCTTTTCGCGCGGATGTTTCCCTAATTGGTTCTTCTTTTTTTATTTTGGATCTTAATTCACCGTATCATGCGTGATTCTTTTATGGATATTGATATTTCTAATCCTGCCCGTGTAGATATTAATTCCCATAGTCGTACGGCGGAAAATTTCCCCCTCTCGAGGGTTAATATTTCTTCAAGCCTACCATATTCTTCTCGTACAGCCTCACCAGGCGTTTTTGCTTCCCGCAATCAACGTTCAACCTCACCAATGCTTCTTCGCTTAGATCTTTCGCAGAATTTATCACCCGCAACGGTGCATGTTTGTGATATCTCTTCCTCTTCCTTGCCTTACGGAACAAGATCCTATGCCCCCTCAAATCGCCCTGATAATGCTCAGCAATCGAACAACACCTTGACGTATTCATCAGATCAGCACCCAAAAATAACTCTTTTGGCCATTGATAGTCTTAGGAAGGAAAAAAATTTTTGCGATACTGTACTTATCGTAGAGGGTAAAAAAATATATGCTCACCGAGTAGTGCTTTCTGCTTGCTCACCATATTTTCGAGCTATGTTTGCAGGTGAAATGGCCGAATCTCACCAAACTGAGGTATGTGACGATCATTTTATACCAAGCATAGTTTTATACATTTTGTTTCTTCAACTAACTTATTTTCAAAACTAGGTATTTTAGCCATCGTCGTAGTAAGGTTACTTCTTTAATGTGTTAATTAAACCTTTGCTATGCCGAATCTCAGCATGATTTGATTCACAGAAAATATGGCCTGTGATGTTGCTACCCACCCAACTCAACTAGTCTAGACAGTCTACTAAATTAATTCTCAAAGGATGCAACCCCTTAGACTAGTTTATCTAAACAGATTCATTTTGCCGTTTGGCCGCATATTGCTACGTATTCTTTGATATTTATGATGATTTTTTAGCCCTCATTCCATTGTGATATTTTAACATGACTTTCCATTTCGATGGAAGAGTTGGTTGTAAAGAATTTTTAATGTAGTCTCACCTGGAACCGCATAGGAAAGACAGTCGTATTGTTTTAAGTAGTCGGCTCACCGTCCTGTGACCCCGATTAACCTGTGCTAAACTTTCGTCTATACTGTAACAGATATCATCAGAGCAATAATCCATACTTTACGAGGTAGTGAAAAAATATACTAAATCAAGAGAAAGTTTGGCCGGCCGCAACGCTAGTCGCTTTTTTAGACGCCTAACCTTACGATCTTAATTGGGCATCCCATGATTTTGTTTGCTACTTCAAATTTACTCTACATGTTTGCATATGAAGGAAGTTACTTCACGAACCTGAAGTGCGTTTGGTGGCAGCAGTTTGCTTACGCAAGTAGATTAGAATATGATCATCTAGTGTTGATTCATGCTTAGGTTTTTGCTATTGTATATTGTGCGTATGCTGTGTTAGGTGTGATAGTCCTATCTATACTCTAGGCTAATCCAGCCTCCTTATTAGGTTGCTCTTCCTCTTATTTAGCCTATCCAACAACCACAAATAGTTCCTGCTCAACTTTTCCTTTAATATGGAAAGTATCACGATATATCACTAAGAGATTATTCGAAATCCAGTTTTTCTTCATGTTATTGTGATATTTTCTGTTATTCGCTTCAGCCTACCATTAGTATTTAGATTTACGTAAATATTTTAGGATGATAACTATGTCATATAATGACTACACATTTGTTTATAATTAATTCCACATTTTATAAAATCTCTTACTGTGTATCAGGTGACTCTTCATGATTTATCATTCGCTGCCGTTGATGCTCTTGTCGACTTTTGTTATACAAGCCAGGTGATTGTCGAGGAGGGGAATGTACAATCCTTGCTACCAGCGGCTTGTTTATTGCAGCTTACGGAAATCCAACTTGTTTGTTGCGAATTCTTAAAACGTCAATTAGATCCTTCCAATTGTCTCGGTATTCGAGCTTTTGCGGATACACATGCTTGTGTCGAACTTTTGCGTGTGGCTGATAAGTTTACACATCTTAATTTTTTGGCAAGTCATTTCATGATTTTATATTTATTTATTTACGATAAGCGTTGCAATTTGATTATTTACATTTTTGAATAATTACAAGTTTTTA